GGTCCTACTCTGTTCCGTATGCACTCTCTGAATCTATTGGAACAATTTCAATAAAGTGGGTGATGTTTTCCTCGGGTATTCGCTCCCAACATAATTTTAGGGTGTTTATGAACTCTTGTCGATTAGTCACATTACTGAAGTTCGATTTGAGGCTTCTTTTCAATTGGTTCTATAAATGTTCAAAGGGGTTAAGATCGGGACTCATGGCCGGCCACGGTAAAACCGTAATATTAGCTTCAGAGAGCTCTCTGTGTTGTTCGCGCTGTATGTGGGCGAGCATTGTCTTGCATAAAGACGAAGTTTTCACCCACTCTTTGTGAAAATGGGATGACATGGGGCCGAATTATTCGATCGACATACTGGGAGGCAGTTATGGAGCCTTCTTCCAGAATTACCAGCTCAGTTTTACCGAGCAAGCTTATTCCAGCCCACACCATAACATTTGGACCTCCAAAACGATCCGTTTCATGTATGCAAGATTCTGAAAAACGTTCTCCTTCTCTTCTCCACACGCGCACTCGACGATCATCGCTGAAAAACTTCACTTTCGTCCGTAAAGAGTACATTTCTCCAGTTGTCCATTGTCCACTCCGCATGCTCGCGAGCAAACCTCAAACGTGCTGCACGATGCGCTCTTGTCAATTTTAGACGAATAAGACGAGATCTGGAACGTCGTCCGTCTTCATGGAGCCGATTTCGAATGGTTTGATCACTAGTTCGTGTGCCAGTCGATTGCCGCAGTCGATTTTCTAAGACGCAGGCGGGAATCGTACGCTCTCGACGTGCAGTCAATCTGATATACCGGTCTTCCTGGACGGTTGTAGCTCGCGCTCTTCCTGATCCAGATCTCCTCGCGACACTACCTGTCTCTAGAAAGCGTTCCCACGCGTTTCGAATAGCTCGTCGCGACACACCAAGACGTCTTGCCACTGATCTCTGAGATTCTCCCTCCTGAAGCATAAACACTGCTCTTGTTGCTGTTTCCACATCCATATGACGCCGAGAACCAGGCATAATGATCGTGAGTAACACCGAAATCAAGTCAAAATGAAAAAAAATAGACGTGCGACGGTAACATTCAGAATGTGACTGAGGGTACAAGTGACTGAGAATTTGAGTAATAAACGTTTTTTGGAGTACTTCAACTTTTTTGTCTACCCACCATTGAATTCCTGATTTGAAACATTTATAACGATAGATATACATGTCAACAATACTTCGAAATGTTTAACTTCACTATTTACCACCCAACAATTTTTTTAAACGAAATTCGAGATTAACTTAGGGGGCCCTATTTTGTTTTGAGTAGTTTATATAATAATGTATATTCTATGTAATGAATATTCTATGCTATTATTTAGTTATTTGATGTGATAAAATAAAATATTATATTTGTTTTAAGTGTTAACCAGCCAAAGTGTACCTAGTGCCTATAGAAAATTATTCATCAAAACTTTAAAGTTGGTTGTGTTATTAAGTATATAATTTATTCGTTGCCATGAACAATTACTTAAGAATTTTTTCGAATCAATCGGTATGTTAGCGATGCAACGTCCGCTTCGTCGAAGGCTTACTGTCGAAACCATGTAAAGACTTACCTGACATACAAATTATTACTTTAATTGTTCCTCCTGAGAGGCCTCTGCCCGCCTGTAGGTCGTATATACTTAATATTATAAATATAAATTTTCGCATGTATGTCGCTGAAAAGCATAATTTTGACGCGACAACCGCGCTTAGTCTTAATAGCGCATTTATGTGAATGGCCATCCTCATAAGAGAGGAGGCGATGGTAGGAAGGTAAATTATTGAGCATGTATTTGTCGCGTTGCAATTATGTTTAATTACTAGGAATTGAAGAATTTTTTTTAGAAAATTGTATCCTCTAATATATAATAAATACAAGTCATTATTATTGTCAAAATTATTGTATAAGAATGTTGACAGTCACAAAATAATACCTAACTAAACACTTAAATGTTTGTTATAAGAAATTAAATTGCATAATTAATAATTGTGTGTCCTAACATTGGGATTACACAAATTAATATTGCTATGGCTTTGTCTTTTTGCGATACATTTTTTTATCATGATTATAATGGTTAAAGAAAGGTCTTATATCCATTAAATACAGAGTTAAGTAAATATACTTTGCTGGCAAAGATGCAAAAATATATTCCTAAAAAACTTATTTTGCAGTATAAGACAAAAATGGGAAGAAATATTTAAGCTTTAAAACTAAGTATTAAAAATTGAATGAAATTTAATTTTCGTCAGTAATTAATAACAGAACGTTTTTGTTCAGTCTATTTTTACTTTAGTAATAATTTATTTATATTCAGAATGCTTGTATTTGTAATGTTTAAAGTTGGCTTAGCCAGACTGCAAATGCGGGTGCAGGTGTGGTTGCTGCTGTTCAAGCACAACCTACATTGTGCATATCGAAACTATTGAGGTTGCTCTTGTGGGCCGTGTAAAATTCCCCTTCATTTTCTCAGGTTGCATTAGTTTTGTTTATTACATTTTTTACCTATTATTTACCATTTAATGTAGAGATGCGCCGAGTACTCGTTTATTATTTGTACCACTCGTACACGGCCGAATAACTACTCGATTCAAGTTATGCATACTCGGTTCTAATGAAATGGGTATATTAGATATAAAAAAAGTGAAAAATAAATAGTTGTTATAAAAACTTAACAAATTGGAAGTTGTGGTGTTGTAATACTAGGCCCTATGCCCATGCCCTTCTTTTTTCTTTCATAGACAATTCCTATTTCGGAAAAGAACCGTTCACTATTCAGTTGTACAAGCACTTGTGCTTCATAAGCCAAGCACAAGTTTGGCACAAATTGCAATGTACTTTGCAATTTATGGCCAAATACAAGCAAATGATAAATGCTAGTGTATCGGGGTATGGTGAGTATATTATTTACTTAATCTTATTTTCGCATCTCAAAGCTGCGTTCGCACTGAACCCAGTAATTCGACCAAATGCTCGGTTTGGCTAACATTAAACCGAGTAGTACTCAGTATTCGGTTACCTGCGATAACTTGTATTCTGCCCATAAAGTATTTTTAGTAATAAAATCCCAAGTAATGGTCCAATAGTTTGTTAACCAAAGCCCGTGCTATGACTGTGGACAGAAAATTACGTACGTCGCGCCTGTTACCGCAGCCTGCTTCACAATCGTCATCACGGTGTCAGTCTGGTCAAGCCGTTTAAGTATTACTGTTATCAGTATATTGTAAATAGAATGACATTTTTTATGTTTTCCAAATAGACAATTTAAATTTATTTAAAATAAGATTTTTTTTATCAGTATTGAGGGTAACAAATGAGGGAAGTTGATGTATTTTCGCCTAAACTTCTAAACTTGTTTAATTTCGTAAAAATTCTCAGAACTATATATTGCTTAGTAGGAAAAGTTTAGTCTCATATAAATTACATGGTCTGGAAATAATGTAGGTGACTGATAATAAAAAATGTTTTTAAAAACTGATATAACTTTCTAGTAAGGTATATTTTTATTTTTACCACAGTATTTTAAGTTTACAATATTAGCACAAATATTTAGACTGCAATGCTGTTATTTATTCATAATAACTTATAAACCTTGTATTGTATTAAAATAAGGAAGCAGTTGTAATTGATTACATAGTGTAAAAATAATGTACTTATTGTTGTAAATTTGACTTTGGATTTAATTCAAAAAATATGAAAATATTATAATTTAATAAGTTTATTATTGTTCCTGATACTTATGTGATAAATATATAATTATACAATAGAGATAACAGTTTTATTTATTAAAATACCACACACTTGCAGAAGACACTCATGAAATGATAACAATAATAATGCCCCCTTACCAATGGTAGTGTGGTGCGTGACTACTGGCCAAACTTACAGTTCTTAAATGACATTTGTGTATGTTTACTGGCCAGTTAAGTTCAGTTTTGCCAACCTTCATTAATTTTCCCTTCTTATTCAGTATAGAGTCAGGTTGTTAAGACGAAAAATTCCTTTTATAAGTAAAACATTACAACCATTAACAAAAACTATTGCTGAACATAAACCTCTCCCAAGGAATGCCCATCAATTGACTTCCTGTATGTCTTATCAGGTTGTCATTCAAGATAATAAGTTTTATTCTTTGACATTACTATGTTTAATAATAGATTGATTCCAGGGCAGGTGGAAAAATGGACAAAAACATTAAGTATTGTGTTGGCACCCAGGGAAAACAAATCACATTATTTCTTCACACATCCTCCATACATTTCTTAATTGCTCACTGTTCTTACTGCATTACTTTATTTGCAGTACAAAGTGGGGTGAGAAACACAGTCATTCAAACACATCAGTCACAAACATGTTTTAACATGTGGATATACATTGAAGAAGAACTGTGTATGATAAATGCATACTTTTTTATTTTTATTTTCTGTATTTCTACTGATATGGCCAATCAGATACATAATTTTGATTTTTTGATAAACAACCTTACTTCTTCATATATAATTAATAATAATAGTGGTTATAGACAAAAAATTACAAACAAATAAAAATTGAAATAGGGAAAATGGTACAGTATGCTCAAAGGTCATTTTCCATTTTTCCAGCTTGCCTTATAATCATATTATAGCTATGAAAATACTATATTTAAATTTAAAAGTTGGCAAACCCAGATGACAGATATCAGGTGGTCAGAAATGAAAGGTATTAGCCTGGCAAATAATAATAACATTGAACACCAAAGACCGTTTGTGAGTTCTACATAAAGAGGAGACTCAATTATACACCAAATTATACTATACTATTGAAATAAATAAAATCTATTAAACTAATCAAAGTTTACTTGTAAGTCTGTGTTTAAACCTTTATTCAAAATTCTAAAATAGGGTGTTAATAGTTTAACAGCAGTTGTTATCATAATATATATATGATTTTTAAAAAGCATTCATTGTTAATAAATTGTTTTCTTATATCTATCTTTTCAATCTTCTTCATTTTCCAAGTTGATGTGACTTCCAAACTTCCCATACAAGTGTGCTTTTAATTCACTCATCTGTGCTTTTATTGCTTCAGATTTGGCCTCTAATTCACTTATTTCATTCTCTTTTTTGCTTTTTGTTTCTTCTAATGATTTCTATATCAAAACAGGTAAATTAGACTTTAATATGTGTGAAAATTAATGTTTTTCTTTAATTTCCAAATTATTAAAACTGAGTATAAAGTTGACTTTCCACAAAACACCGAGCACATGGCAATAGAAAGCAAAGTAGTAATTTACAACAAGGCCAACAGGTGGCAGAAAATTCATATTGAAACCCTAAACCCACATACTGGTGATGGGTAGCAGCAATAACAGAGGTAGGGTCTGCTTTGCCTTCACCTAACCTCCCGCCCAGCATAGTGTCTTCCGTGTAATGGTAGCAGCTGGTACGTTCTAGGAAAGGAATGTTCAGCACTGAATCTTAATACTATTGATTTAATGTTTAATTTTCTTTATCAACCCATTGCTAGCTATGGGCCTCTACTGTTCCAAGAATGGTTTGTTTTAATCTGTGGATGGTTAACAACACTGATAGGTTATGTTATTCAATTTGTTATTTGATTCAGGATTTATACTTACTAAAGTGTCTTCCAAACTTTGGCATACAAACACTTCACCGATTAGGTAAGGAATTTTTTCTGTATCGTCAGCAAGACTCAATTCTTCCACTGCTTCCTCTAAATTTTTCATGTCGTTTTGTTTCACTTTCAATTCATCCTTTATATCATCAACTTTAGCGTTAAGGCGTGCAAATTTATTTATTTTTTGTTGATCTTCAAATGATATGTGAACATCGGAATCCTAAATAAATGTACATTTAGAGGTTTACTTTAAAAATATATATTAATACATTAATTAACGAGTTAAATAATATATACATACGGGCTGAAATGTGCCTTTCCCGGAATTTGCCATTATAATTTTAATAATAAAGGTTTAGTTTATGTTTTAATTTTTATTATTTTATATCGTTAATTAAAAATACTCAAGTTCAATCTTCAAAGTTCAAAAAGCAAAATTAGCAAAAGCCAAAGAATAAATACAATACAAAGAGCTATTTGACAAAGAGTATAAATATAAAACTTTTTTGGCTTGGATGCTTGTCTTTTAAGCCAAATCTTCATTTCATTCGGGATTTAAAAATCTTATTTATTTAGTTATTTACTAGCTTTTTACCCGCGGCTTCGCTCGAGTTGGCTTCAATTTAGAAATATTATTAATACTACTTCAATTAAAGTTAAAATTTCTTAAATGTAGTTCTATTCACGATGAACGTGTGACAGGGACTATATTCATGAACGGGAGTAGAAATATAGAGAAGATGGGCAGCAGCGTCTTTCTGATTATAGCTCAAAAAAAATAAAAAGATGCAACTGGCAACCTGCCTGCCAAGCCTGGCAACAACGGCTAATACCCAACTTATTTCGTAATCTATAGAGGGAATCGAAATGATGAACGGGAGTAAAAATATATTAGCAATGTAGAGGCGGCGAAATAGAAACCAATACCTCCTTTCGTCTTGTGGGTGTCGTATGAAGCATCAGAAGGGCAACAGAAACTGGAGATGGATAGCAGCATCTTCCTGATAATACTGCAGAGTAATAAAAAGCTGCGGTTGCCAAACCACTTGCCAAGCGTAGCTACTACTGCAAATATCCGGCTTATTTGACAAACAATGAGAGAAGTCTATGCTCAATAGTAGATAGGCTTATTAAAAGTAAGAAAAAGCAGCCTACATACATCCCGCTACTGGGGCAGGCCGCAGCGAGTTTTAGGACAAAAAAGAGTTGATATTACAAAACACACAACAAAAATATTTTTTTAACTTCTTAAATATGTAGGTTTTCTAGCGATATTTCCTTTCACCACCGATAATGTGGTAAATTGAAACTTCTAATTGCAATTAAAATATGATTGGTGTCGGTGCGGATCGAATTTGGGTTGCTTACGTACTATGAAATTTACGTTTGGATCGGTTCGACAACCGGATAACTTGAAATCATTGTAGGTTTAACCATAATTAAAATAAAAATAAATATGCATTTAAAATTTGCTGTCTTTGATATTTATAGTACTTTTTCGCAAGAGCCTGTTCATTTACTCATGCCAGTTATAAAACCGGGACTGTCATAAAAATCTCAATAAGTAGGTATGTCTGAAAACATGAAAGCTATCATAATATAATATGACAAACTGTTTTAAAAGTGTCATTAAAAGTAAAAGAAACTAAAGAAGCAGGTTACATACGTCTTACGACTGTGTACAGGGCTGCTAATTACCCATGTGCAAAGTAAAGGTTTCACATATCCACGATTGTTTTAAAAACTACTTACACATCAAGGTTTCGCCGCCAAGTTATTCTTTACCACTTTGTAATTAGTCATTCAACTATTCCGTCATGAAAATCTTACAGTCCACTTAATTTTCAATTAATAACATCGGAGTTGATACAAAAAGAAGTTGTTGAAATATTGCTATGCTGAAAGACACCCAACATATTCAATTCTGTCTTAATTACAGTTTTGTGTACACAGTTCTGTTAGTCATTTTGTTAAAAGTGACACTATCGATAAATCATCCCGACACCAGCTTGGATATTTGAAGTCTGACAATTTTTGATGCTGGAAGAATAAGTATTCAATAGAATTTTCATTATTTTCATTAGTAACTTATTATTAGTTTATTTATAAGTAAGTATATGACGGTATTATTATATTAAAACTATGAAAACAAATACTGTACCCTCTAGTACTCAGCGATAATAAGTTGAGGTGTGACTGGGGTGGCCCAATCACATATTATAAGATTAGAGTGACAAACGAGCACACAGTCCACTTGATGGTAAGTGGTTGCTGTGGCCTATAGACATCTACATATATCTTCGATTACGAATCAAAATGCAGATACGTTGTCACTCGTGAGGACTAAGATGGAATGTCTCATCATCATCATTACAGCCCTTCACAAGTCCACTGCTGAACATAGGGCTTCCCCAAGGAATGCCACAAATCACGGTCCTGAACCACCTGCATCCATCGACTTCCTGCATGTCTTACCAGGTCGTCACTCCATTTCGTGGGGGGTCGCCCTACACTTCGCCTACCGGTACGAGGCTGCCACTCAAGAACCTTTCTCCCTCATCGGTTGTCGGTTCTTCGAGCTATATGGCCGGCCCACTGCCACTTCAGCTTACTAATCCGTTGGGCTATGTCGGTTACTCTGGTTCTACTGCGGATATACTCATTTCTAAGTTTATCACGCAGAGAAACCCCGAACATAGCCCTCTTCATAGCTCGCTGAGCTACCTTGAGCTTCCTCATACGGCCAGCAGTGAAGGACCACGTCTCAGATCCGTAAGTCATCACTGGCAACACGCACTGGTTGCACAATTTCGTTTTAACGTTTTGAAGTATGTCTGACGAGAAGATGTGTCGTAGTTTCCCGAACGCTGCCCAGCCGAGTTGAATCCGTCGATTGACCTCGCGGTCGAATTTGAACTTACCTAGTCGGACTATTTGTCCCAGGTAAACATACTCGTCAACAACTTCGAGCTTAGTGCTGCCAACAACTGCCGGCATAGGTGTGACATGGACATTAAACATAATCTTTGTTTTGTCCATGTTCATCTTAAGACCTATCCGTTGGGAAACACTATTTAGGTCATTAAGTATAGTGCTTAGGTCCTCCAGCGATTCTGCCATAAGGAATATATCGTCGGCAAATCGAAGGCGAGTGATGTACTCGCCATTGATGTTAATACCGTATCCTTTCCAGTCCAGAAGCTTGAAAACGTCTTCCAATGCAGCGGTGAAGAGTTTCGGGGATGTAACATCACCCTGTCTTACACCTCTCTGCATCTCTCTTGGATAGGATTCGTACTTTGGTTCTGTACTCGGATAGCCATCGTAGCTCTACTGAATAAACACTTCAGCACTTCGATATACCGACAGTCAACTTGGCACCGCTGAAGGGACTGCAGCACCGCCCAAATTTCGACGGAATCAAAGGCTTTCTCATTGTCCACATACGCCAGACATAGTGGCAAATTGTACTCCTCGGACTTCTGTACAATTTGCCGAAGGGTATGTATGTGCTCTATGGTGCTGAAGTCCTTTCGGAAACCGACTTGTTCGGGAGGCTGGAAGTCGTTAAGTCTGCGCGCGAGACGATTCGTAATGATTCTTGAAAACAGCACGTAGACGCGGCTTAGAAGGGAAATCGATGTGTGGTTCTTCAAGAGAGCGTTGTCACCTTTCTTGAATAACAAGACCACCACACTTCTCCTCCGCGCCTCCGGTGTAATGCCACGGTGGTGTAATGACGGAATTAAAGAGCTTCTGAAGGACTTCAAGTACCGGTTTTCCACCCGCTTTCAGAAGCTCCGCTGTATTTCCATCCTTGCCTGGGGCCTTGCCGTTTTTAAGGTGCTGGAGAGCCATTCTAATCTCGCTCAGACTGACGTCCGGGATATCTTCGGAATAGTATCGGATAAGACTCGCTCTTGGATCGTTACTCACACTTGCGTGTGGCTCCAACGATGACGTGTACAGCTGCCATAGAACCTCTCAATCTCACTCAAAATCTCAGGTGCCCCGGAAACGATGCTGCCACATTCGGTCTTCAGCTTTGACAGTTGGCTCTTTATGGCAGACAGATCTCTGGCAAAGACTTTGGAGCCTTGGTTCCACTCGATCGCTACTTCAATACAAGCTGTATTGAAGTTGCGTAAGTCCCGCCGCATGCATTTGGAGATCTGCCTGTTCAGTTGCCTGTATGCTGTCAAATCTGTTGAAGAATGTAGCTTCATATCCCGTCTAACAGCCATGAGATAGAGAGTGTGATCGGAGAGTTTTTGTGTTCGTCTGCGGCGGGTCTTGCAGAACTTAGCTCCGACCGCATGGACAGTTTCCACGAGCTTTTCATTCATATCGCCCACTTCATTGCAGTCTTCTATGCACTGAAAACGGTTTTGTAACTTGAGCTGAAAGGTTTCGGGACTTTGGAGCAGAGTACGAGGGGGACGGAGCGTTGATTTCATTAGACGAGAACTCTCCAACTTAACTTTTAGGTTCAGTGTGCCTAACCTTTTTTTTTTTTTACATGGGGAAATGCCTACGCATACCCGCCTCGCGGGGGCAAGGACGGGTTATGTCGGACTCGCACCGACTAAAATCCCATGGTGTTCCACCCTCGTCGCATATAGGCAGGGCCACGGGAACGCTTTCGCTCACTTCCGCGGCCCCACCTGCGCTGGCCACTCCATGGCGGCCCCTCCTCGGGAGAGGAGGCGCCGCATATGTCTGGCGTATGTGGACAATGAGAAAGCCTTTGATTCCGTCGAAATTTGGGCGGTGCTGCAGTCCCTTCAGCGGTGCCAAGTTGACTGTCGGTATATCGAAGTGCTGAAGTGTTTATTCAGTAGAGCTACGATGGCTATCCGAGTACAGAACCAAAGTACGAAACCTATCCAAGAGAGATGCAGAGAGGTGTAAGACAGGGTGATGTTACATCCCCGAAACTCTTCACCGCTGCATTGGAAGACGTTTTCAAGCTTCTGGACTGGAAAGGATACGGTATTAACATCAATGGCGAGTATATCACTCGCCTTCGATTTGCCGACGATATAGTCCTTATGGTAGAATCGCTGGAGGACCTAAGCACCATGCTCAATAGTGTCTCCCAACTAATAGGTCTCCCCCATCTCCCTCTCAGGCAAGGCGCACCAGAACACATGGCGCGCCCTCCTACTCGGCCTCCAATCGCACATGCGCAACGGACGCCCCCGCGTCCGACGCGCGAAGGCCATGGGGCCAGGAAAAACTAGCACTCAGTAGCACCAGCCTTCCTGACCCCAGCGGTGGATCTGGTCTATGGCTCTACCGCCAACCAAGATTCGGCTGCGGAGGGTAGGGAGA